TTATTCATGTTGACGCAGTCCACCAGACTTCCTCCCTCGTTTCTGGTGAAAACGTGCTGAACGTTCGTCCATCATATGATGGACATCATCAGAGCTGGGTTTTATTCTTGTAAGATTCTCACGTTGACACTAGGCCAAGAACACTATCCGGCTATATCATACTTCTTATATAGACTCACTTGGGCCAAATGAAAATTAAAAACCTAGATAGATCGATATAGAGTGGTTTGGTTAATTTTGTTTCATACTGGTCCTGTTATTTTTGCTCGATTATATGAATATGTTTATTTGTGCGTGCTAGCGTCTATATGCAATACGGTTTCTAAATCAGAGTTGTCAAAGGTTGAATCTCAGGTTCTGATCGTCGAGACCTAATGACCCAAGAGAAAATCTTTGACCGAGACTGCTTAGTTCCGTAAAGAGGTATGCTTGGGATAATGAAATATGAGCTTGTAAGTATGAAAATCAAATAACGAAACCACTTGTCCTAACCTTTCAGTCAAGGGTCATTAACGTTTAACCTTTCAAGGAAAGGCAAGATTCCGGTTGCGTAATCTGACATGTCTGGTTGAGTTGATGAGCCTACTCTAACAGTTTGGAAGAATGTGAGTGAAATTAGAACCATCACTGAGCAGACAAATTGAGTTGCCTTCTTTTTGACGGCTTGATTGAGTCTACATAAGAGGAAAGATAGAGCTAGATAGGCTTCTTGATCTGGTGAAAACGTAAGACTTTCACAGGAATGACTTCCAGCTCTGATGGTGTCAATCATCCACCCCTCCTTTCAACCGAACTAAGGGCGGGGTTCTCGTGGACTGCGTCAACCTGAACGTCGTATATGAACCAAACAGATGCATTACATCGGGATTCATCTGACGTCTTCTGGTGAAGTCACCCTGCGAATCTCTTCTTCACGCACTTTCATATGAAATGAAGGTCCACTCACCACTACAATCTCAGTAGATTAATCGAAACCCAGTTACTCTTCGTTTCTATAATGATAAAACAGCCTAATCTCCGCGGCTTGAATGACAGAGGAGGACAAATCGAGCGAAAGCAGCACAGATTTTGCTCTCTGTGGTCTTTATGCAACCACGAGTTCGGTACCATACTGAGGCTAATTTTTAGAAGATTAAGATCAAACCAAATCCCCCTTCAATTGGTTCGCTTCAGCCAGCTTCAGCAATACTCTTTTTCCAAACCGCTCGCCTCTTTCTCGCCGATGTGATGACTTTCCTGCTGACTTTATTGATTCCGCCTGGGCGGTTCGAATGCTCAAACAGTGCGGCGAGTAATTTTCCATTTGGATTAAAGTCTTCAGCAGGCATCACAGTCACCTGTCCATGGAAATTTAATCGGCCATACGCCACGGCCCGTGTGCGGTATGCTCTACGCAGAGAATCTGACGTCCAAATTGCCGCCCTTGGCTAAAGTGGAAAGTCTCAACGAGGCCATTGTGCGCCAACGCAGGCAGATCTATCCGAATCATCGTAAAGCCGGTTCACGCAATAGTAAGTCCTCGAGCCACAGATCACGACATGCAGATCTCCTCTCGCAACCTTCCGAAGGGTCAGACTCTATCGACGCCGGTCCTGAACGCCGATGTAGACGGCTGCAGAACCGCCGAAGAAATAATCGCTCCATGAGCATCACTTTGCCGGCAGGGAGTGTGAGTAGTCCCGAAGTGATGAGCAACTTTAATATTCTTCGTCAGATGCCTTTCTGGTCGCTGAAACAGGACGCCTTTCGTAGAATGATTATCTTTCCGCTGCCCCGGGACGTCTTAGAGAGACATATCGGCCTGACTCTGGCCAGTAAATTGCCATTCTCGAGGTATCCAGACCATGAACTGGTGGAGGTGTTCTCGATGAGACGGCCAGACAACAGTTTGCATGCTCAGCGTCATCGGGAAAAGTACGCTAAACGCTTGAAACGGAGAAAATTTGGCAAGTCAAAAGCATCTGCGCGTCTGATAGGGCGAGAATTGGTCGATCAAGCGATTGGAGTGGAGAAGCTCGTCTCGACGGAGTGCGTGAGTTCGACCCTCGGGGCGCCAGAAACTGATGGACTCGAGGTTGGCGAGCAGAGTCGACCGGAGCTGACACAGCCCAGTTCTCAGGCCCAGGTTCTTAGAGTCCAACGAACACGTTCTCTTCCTGTCTCGCCGGAGCCGAAGAAGCGTCTGCGAACGGAGAGCTATTTCAACCAGACGCATGGTCCAGACGAACTGGGAGGCGCCAACGAGGCTGAGGATGGAGAGGCGGAGGGCGAAACGAGCGTGGCCTACAGCGAAGAGCAATACTCGGCCTTGGAGGACTTCCAGGCGGCCCTCAATCGTTTCCAGTCGGTGGCCAGAGGCGCAGAGGTGACCCAGAGAATGGCGAAATGTCGGGCTTGCAATCACATCGCCTATTCGGCCGAACGAGAAGTGGCAGCTGGCTTGGTTTTTCATGCCGGCTGCCTTCGATGCCACTCATGTAGCACTCTGCTACAACGAGGCGCCTGGAATTATAGAGAAAACTACTTTTATTGCAATCCCTGCCATCGTCGTTTGGCCCTGCAGACACTGCGCAACTGAGAGGATGTTTAAAGGATGCTAATGGGAACGAGAGAACCTGGTGGCACAAATTGGCAGGACTCGGTGAATATGAAGAAATAAGGAAAAAACTTTCACTTAAAATTAGAAGCCTATCCTTTAAACATATTTTATCTTATTTTTGCCCCTTTCTGTATAATCCGATTATTTGTGTTCTCAAAATTATTGATACCTTGGTACCTATTTTAGGTTAACCTCGGTATAATAGCTATTCTTCATATTTACACAACCGATGAGTTACAGAAAATAGGCAAAAATTAAAATTAAAAGCAAATGAATTGATCTAATATTTGCTCCACAACTTTAGCTTTGTCTTGAAGTTGACTCAAGGGTACTCGTGGTAACGTGTCAAGCTACCGTCCTGCACTGTCGCGGTTCGACTCCCGCTGAGGGTGTTGATAAGACCAATGC